CTGCATTTCAGATTACCGACATCTTCATGAAGCCGTTATCAACAGCACGATTTCTTCCCTTAAAAGCCAAGCTCAATATGTGTTCTTCTTCCACCATTGGCTTGAGGAGGGCTATTAAGATAGCACACTAGGAAGTACAAATATGTAATATTGTTGAGTYAGTTTTAAAAAGAGTCTGTAAGTCTGTTGTAAAGTTAATAAGATAGTTTGAAGAGATTAGTGTCCATAAATACATTGAGGAATAATATCATAGTCTTTGACTCTTTCTGATATTCAAACTCTTTACTTCCTAAAAATGTTAGGTACTATATCAACTCATTCTGCATGGTTTAATTTGTTTTTCAAATGGTATTATAGCAAAGGGCTTTTTATTTTATTTTATTTTTATTTTCTAAATTTTATGGCTCCCTCCGGCCAACCGATCAGATTTACCATTCCACAATTGACATTTCACATTCGAATTAAAGAGTTTGAATAGGCTAATTGAAGACATTTCAATTTCCTTTATTATAAATAAGAAACCATTACTTACAAAATAATAATAATAAACTATTTAAAATTTCTGATTATTATCTTGAGAATATTGAAAAAAAAAAAAAAGATTTTTGTTTGGGTGGTGGCGTGGCAACTGCAATTCCTCCTCCATGCACGTGACTCGTCAAGATATAATCAACTCTTTCTTACAAATGCAGCACGTCTGATTTATATTAAAAAATAATAAACCAAATTWAGCCATTTGTTAATAATTTGACTTTCATTTAATAATTAAAAAAAAGTAGTTTTAATTAATTCAACATTGTCCCATATTTTAATTTTCTATTAATAAATCAAGAATCTAAACAAATATTATTATAAATTACCTTATTTTCTTTTCCCTTTACCATAATCATCTAAAAAAATTAGTTACATTTCGTTTCAAATTTCTTCCTGTCCAAATAAGATGTAAAAATCATTTTTCAAACTTTAGGGTTTCTAAAGGAGATGAAAAAGGGATGAAATTACGTTGTTATCCTTCAACCAATCGTAGATGCAATCTTGATGATATTTGTGAGTACAGGGCAAAGTAGTCACAATGTCATTCACTTGATAATCCATTTTGCAGACAACACACCTAAGCAGCACAGTTTCAAACAGACAGAGTGAAAATATTCACTTTAATTTAAAAGTATAAACTGTTAAATTACAGCAAATATTTTAGTAAAATATAGTTATTAACGAATTATTTTAARCCCGTAACTATTTTGTTTTTAGTTTCTGTTTTTAAGCTTACCACCACTGTATATTTCTTTCCTTTGTTATTAATATTTTAAAAACCTCTAAAAAAATATAAGTCAAATTTTGAGAATTTAAAAAGTAATTTTCAAAAACTTGTTTTTATTTTTCAAATTTAGTTAAGAATTCAAACGTGTTATGAAAAAAGATAAAGAAAAATATATCCTAAAGAAACCACGAGAAAATAAGCATAATTTCTTAAAWGAAAGTACTAAAAACGAAATCACCATAAAAAAAAGAGAGAAGAAAATGGTACTCGGTGTCGGTGTCGGTGTTATTTTGTGTAGATTTTTTTCTCCATTTTGAGGGAGTGGGTGATTTATACTTGTGAGATGGCAACTTCAATAGAAGCCTTTCAGGCAATCCTTTGCTCTCACTTCCACTCCCTTCCTCCAAATTTTGTAATTCCTAAACACATCAAATAATACACCATATATATTATCAGTCAAACTAACTATAATAAGCAATCCAATAAAATAAAATCTTGTAACTTTGGTTTTCATTGATTTGCTGACTGTAATTAGTGGGTCAGATTCAGACTTACCTCATAAGTTGATCTATCTACGTTCATGTCATCTTGATTTTCGACCTGYATGATTTTTGTCATAAAAAATTATTTGAAGAAATTAACATTTGTAATTTGATATCAATAAAAACTACTCTGGTTATTTTTCAAAAATTGACGTAACATTTGGACAACAGAAAAAGTTTATTAACTTAATTTTTAAAAATAGAAAAAAAAAGATTATTAAACGGGTCAGTATATTTGTAAAAGGAAAAAAAAAGCCTAAAAGATATTTGTTTAAGGATTTTATCCACGCGCCCTCACTTGTTGAATTTAAAGTATTAGTTAACAAAATGTTATTTGAATGAAATGGAAATTTGAGAGTATAATAATTTTGAAATAAATTTTAACTAAAAAAAACAATCCTTTTTAATTAAATTAACAATCAGAAGTACCGACCTAAATTAAGCTTAAGAAATTTAGGATGCCCTTTAATTGGTGGTTAAAAATAGAAATCTAAAAACAACCAATTCAATTAAAAAAAAATAGTATTTTTTGTTAAGAAAAAGTAGTATTTTCTAATATGTATTTTGTAATAACTAAATTAAATCTCAAATTTTTAATGATTTTTTTTGTTGGAGATATGTGTTTAGTAATATGTTGGTAAACTAATAATTGTACATATATATTATAAATTTGATAAAGTTATATCATTTATAACATATCTATATTTCACAGGTTTTTATTTTAACAAAATAATTTAATATAATATATTCATAATTTTTTGTTATCATTTTCTTTAATATAATTCTACATTTTAAAATTTTAAATTCAAAATCTAAAAACATTAAAAACACAAAAATATTGAATTCTAAAAATGAGAAACAGAATTCAAATTGCATATCTATTAATAGACCTTTACGAAGTTATTTTTAACCCAAATAAATCCGATGAATTTAACAAATATGAAAAATCGTACCTGGTCCTGCCCAAATATATAATGGTATAAGTTCATAACACACGGTGGATAATCCAGTGGAAGTCGGCTTTGGTCAGCCATGCCACGTGTCACTCTCAACCAATAAATTGTGGACTACTCCTAAGTTATGGATTCTGAGGCCATTCTTCATTTGATATATATATATATATTAAAGAGATGATTTGCACATGGAAATGGATTTATAATATATATGCAGTAGAATATTTGGGTATTTATTTTCTTCCTTATTTATGACCAAAAATATTAATATTGGAATTAAATATCATTCAATTACCTGAGATTTCTTCGTATAAATAATTGTTTTTTCTAATGAAAAATTAATTTAAAGCGTGTTGTTTGGAGAACTAAATTAATGTATGAGTTTGTTTGGTCATTTCCCCTCGTGGCTTTTTACTTTAATTCACATTCATTTTCTTACTCTTTTTCTCCATTTTACTTTACTTTATTATTGTATTTTCTACTTAACTTTACTAATTTTTTTTCATGAATTTATGTTAAGGTACTGACCTTAAAATCGAAAGACCATTTTAAAGCAACATTTTTTTTAACGATGAATATACAATTGATATTTATTTAACTTAAAAAATATAATTTGATCATATGATAAATAAATTTTACCTAAATAACATCAATCATATAATTGTCTTTTTTTTAATATTAAGTTGAAAATAAAATTTGTATTTAATATTATTTATTTTTTTAAAGAAATTCTTATATTAATTTGTTCTACAAAATAACATATAAAAATTAATATAAAAATATTAAACTAATAAAAACAAATCTATTATATAAATGCAAATTATATTAAATTAACATATAAATTATATATATCAATATTGGTAAGAGCATTTTTTTGGAACAATATACAAATTTAAAATGTTTCTAGGAATAAATCGTGCAAAACAAACCTAGATAATCAAACATTCCCAAACATCCCTATAAAATTTGTTACAAAAYAAACATGTCTATCTAAAATGTCAAGACATCTAATATTTTAAAAATATGAAATTTCAGACAATGTGAAGATATCAAATATTTACTTTTATAATAAATAAACGGCCATAAAATTGTTTACAGTAAACTAATTTCGTTAGCTAAAATTCAACATTTTGAAACTTTAGAAATAAAAATCTAAGATTTTAAAAGCTAGAAACGAAATAAAAATTTAAATTGCATCTCATAAGAAAAAAAAAAGACAATAATAATTGTATAGATGTATATGTAATATATATTATATAAGTGAGTGTACGACACGAGGATTGGATTTTCCCGAATAGAAGACATGCTCCGTACGAAAAGTGATGAGTCAGTGCCACGTCAATAAGATAACAGCAAAACACCATCCACGTGAATTGGGAAAATTATAGTCCATATTACTTCAACTCAAATTGCGTCATGTGTAAAGTAATTTTATTATTATTTAAATAAAAACATTTTTAATTTTCATGTGGGACTCACCGGCAAAATTGATCAAGATCTCACATCCTCTCTCTTAAATTAATCCTACATTCTCTCTTATTAAATATTTTAGATGTGATTATTTATTTTTACTTTGGTAATTTATTCATCTCTTTATTATTATTTACATATTCACTTACTTCTCTCATCTTCTATTTCTATTTTTTTAAAATTCACTTACTTCTCTCGTCTTCTATTTTTATTTTTTGGATCTTCATATTCTCATCCTCGTGTTTAAGTTTAATCTAAACAGGTTAATAATAACTAAA